TCTCTGATCCTTCAGCAGCGGCACATGTTAGCACTTCGACCCAACCCCAGCTAGAGGGGTTCCCATGCATGATGGAAGGTATGATGCATGTAGATTAATATGACATGCATAGTTTATTGAGGTTGGAGCCACACATGCTTAGATTGTGGACTCAACTATGATCGTGTGATTAGTTATGTCTAGTAATCAAAGACTAGACCATGAGTAGATTGATAAAAGATTATGAGTTATATGCAATAACCTTTCCATGGATGTGGTAGTATTACCTCCATGAGGATATTATCCTATGAGATAGGGAATTCTCATGAAAGGTTCAAATTGAGGGGAACTTCCCTTGGAGTTAGCCTTCGGGACCTCCTTGTGGTCAGGTGCCTAAGAGAAACAGCTCATAGTGGATCTCTCTTGGAAGATCTATCGGATGAGATTTTATGCATGAGGTTATTTACAGGACCGCAGAAGGGCAGGGTTAAATATCAAGTGAATAGGTATGACCCTTGAGGAAAATGAAAGTATAAAAGTGCTTAAATTTATAAGTATCACCTAATTATACAACCATAGATTGAATCATGAATAAAAGATTTCATCTTATGACAAGATGAGGAGAAAAAGAGGAAGTAATGAACGGGGTACCTTCGGGAACACAAGAAGGGTTCTCCTATAAATTCCTAGTTGATTGAATGCGTGATTTTGTCAATTTTGAGGACAAAATCGCTAAAAAGATGGGGTGAATATAATACCCCTAACTTAAACAATTTAATTAATTACTTTAAATTAAGTAATTAAGCATGTATTAGTGAATAAAATTAAGTATAGGGCCTAATTAAGAGAATTGGGATCACTTTTGAGGTAAAAAGTGTACTCAGTGAAAATTAAGGGGTATAAATGGGTGTAGGCAAAAGAACCCAAAATATAAAAATGGAAGTGGAAATATTCCTAGAAAAATATTCCAGACCTTTGGGTAAAGTTTGGTGGTAAATGGAGTTGAATAGATAGATGAGCTAATACCCGCTTAAAGCCACTTAACATAAGTTAAGTGACTAAAAGCAATGAAACCCATTCATTTCCCCCCACACCCGTTGACAAGAAGAAAAGAGAAAAGGAGAGAGTGAGAAGCAAGAGAGAAAGGGAGGGAGCCCCAAACCCTAGATCCTCTAATCCTTAACCTATTTGAGTGATTCAAAAGCCTAAACCACTTAGATTCTTCCTCTCATCCTTAAACCAAACTTAGTTTTGAGTGGGAAGCATTGTGGAGTGAGATATCTCCCTCCAAAGATTTTGCCCTTGTGAGGATTTGAGGAGTTTGAAGGTGATTCTCTCCATGGGAGCTTAGGGGATCAACACTCATTGGTTGTGAAACCATTTGTGGTGAGTTTCTTCCCCTTGAACTTGGTTTTCATGGAGTAGCATGGTTGAGGAAGATGATGAATATTGTTTTTGGGGTTGTATGTGTTGGGGGTTGATTTAAGCTTAAGCCCTTTGTAAATGTTGTTAGTGATGATAAATAAACGGTAGAAATGAGTTTAGATTGCCATTTTAGTATAGTTTGATATTTGAGTAAATTATGCTTGAAATTAAGGATGTTCTTGAATGGTAAGTCATTGTTTGATTATAGAATTGATTGTGTTCCTTGTATTAATAGGATTGAGGCAAGAGAACCAAGTGGAGTGACCAACCCTTGTGGTTGTGTTTAATTGAGGAAAGTTCAAGAGCAAGGTAAACCTTTGGACCTTGGGGTTGATCCCCTTGAATGTTCCACCATACTCCATTGAGGAGGAATGGTTTATGAGGTGTGATATGTAATGATGATAGTTGTTGTATGCTCATGCATTGATTCATGCATTGAAAATTAGTATGATTGCTTAATGATAATTGATTGATGTTTGATTGTTTAAGAGTAATTGAGGAATGGTTGATAGATGTAAATATTGATTGAGGTAATAATTGATAGAACCATGATGAGGATGATTGGTAGGAACTTCCCTTGAAAACAGCCCTATGTGGATCTCCATGTGGTTAGAGCCTAAGAGAAATAGCCCTATGTGGATCTCTCTTGGAGGTTCTTAGATTGAGGTAAGGACTTTCCTCTGAAACAACCCTATGTAGATCTCCATGTGGTAAGAGCCTAAGAAAAACAGCCCTTCGTGGATCTCTCTTGGAAGTCCATGTAATTGTTATGGATAAGAATGTGTTAAACTGTTGATTATATGTACATCGGAAGTGAACCTTAGGGTGGAGTGATCTCCAAGGGCCCTAGGTTTACTGTGATATATTTGTATATCTCACCCCGTGTTGTGGGGCATCATTTCATGTACTGATAGAGGTGAGGTTGATCGAGGCAAGAAGCATGAGTAGATTGTACTTGATAGCTGGACATTTTGAGTTGCATGCCATTTAGAATTGTTATATCTATGACATGTTTTATTTTGATGAACTTAGCCTATGCTTATCTCCTTTGGTGTCTCTTTTGTTGATGGGAGCCAAGGAATTGGTCATAGTGTTTTGTAGCTAAGTCCCATGATTTGTAATTCAGACATGTTGCAATGATGTAATGTTGTAATTATAGGATATATGTATATGAGGAAATGGTATGCATGTTTCTTTTGATGTATATGTACCTTGCAAGAACTAAGAACCATTTATTGAAAAGATTATATGATGTCAATTAGGTGAAAGAAGACCTTTAGGTTAAAAATCCAAGTAAAAGTAAAGATATCTCGTCTTGTTGTCCAATTTTCGTATCCTATATGATAGATTTGGAACCTTGTGTCTTAATGGAAGTTGTAGATCTTTTTCTTAGCTTTCCATAGAGACCAAGATTGTGTAATTTGGATGAGTATAACTCAAGTTATGGGTAGAACACCATAGGAGGTCAGATTGCCCTGTTTTGGTGCTTGCTCCAGAACTGCCACGCTATGAGCGTGAGATTCACGCTATGAGCGTCAACCCCTCTGACTGCTCACGCTATGAGCGTCAACCCCTCTGACTGCTCACGCTATGAGCGCGGGATTCCTGGAAATTTCAGCACCTATTTTCTTAGAAAATGCGTAACTTGAGCTACGGTGCTCCGATTTGAGTGCGGTTTGAACCCACGCGTAGCTAATGAAAAATCCTATAATATATTGGACAAATGGAGACCATACGAGTACATGTGTTTATTGTTTAAGAACAACAAAAGTGAGTTTTAAGCTTTGGTGGTCTATATAAGACTTATAATTGGAAGTCTACCAATGATTTAAGTTATAATCACATTACAGAATGGATTTTAAACAAAAACGTTTATGAATAAAAAAGGAAAAAGTGTATCCGTATTTAATTCAATTTTGTGATTGTAACTGCACTTAATGCCGCACGTAATGTTAACAAACCGATTCTAAAACGGGACGTTACAGTATGTCTTCTAATTGTCTATTCCTGAGCTACAGACTTAGCTGTCTCAGCTGGTGCCTTTCTGGCTATACTCCTATAAGATAGGGTCTTTTGTATACTGACTTATGACGCGGTGGATCTTAGTTTATTATAAGATATTTCCTTAGTTCTTAAGTCATATAAGGCGGTTAGGCGCAATGAGGTCATTGCGCCTTCGGATCTTATGCGCGATGGAAACATTGTGCATTTCATTGGACCTGTATGTTTCTGGGCCTATTCTGGACTTTAACCCTTTGCGGACCTATTGTATTTTATCTAAATCGCAGGATTACCTCAACTCCGCACCCCAACAATTATAATTGTTGTACCACTAACAAAAACAAGAACAAAATGAGAAAAAAAAAAAAAAAACGGTTGATGGCAAGCTTTTTCTCATGGAGGACCAAAATCACTGCATTGGTCTCACTCTGAATGCAGCGACAAGAAATTCCTTTATTTTAGTGCCAAGAAAATCATTGACTTATTTTAAGATTAGTTAAAGGGTTTTATAATTCTCATGTAACGTGAAAATTATAATTTTCCTATATACCTTTTAATTTTTGTGCTGATATGAATCCCACACATAATTTTTTGTAATATATGAGTCACACATACTTTTTATTTCTATGACATAACAATTTCCTCCTCATGTAACATCAGAATTATAAAGTACTGAGTTAAATACGCCGTTTACAGGGCATACAAAGTATAAGACTGATCTTTAAGTCTACATACTATCAAAAAAAATTCATTTCACTTTATTCGGATATGTACCGAAACCAAAAATAAAATAAAACTAAATGGGATAAAATGTAATAAAATTATCGTAACATTATTTAGATAAAAAATAATAAAATAAATTTAATAACTTTTGTGTCATTGTCAAGGTCTAGGAAGATAATAAAATGATAATAATCATAAAATTATTTTTCCCATATTATCCTCATTTTAAACCTAATATACTTTAATAATTTTTTATTCAAAACAAATATTAATTAATATTATTTTTCCTCAAAGATTAAGTACTTTTATACCAAATTATTAAATAATATATTTTTCATTAACTTATCATGATTATGTGGGAAAAAAGAAGAAGAAGAGAGATAACACTTTCTAGATGAATTGCGAAGTGGAGCTTGATTTTCGAGATGACTCTTCATGTTTTATGGCATCACAAAAATGTCCATATTTTTTAACTTTTTATGGTTCTCCGATGAAGATAAAATCATGCATTTGTACGAATATTTTAAATTCAGTAAAATTTTAAAAGCATAAATTAAAAAAATTTAAAGAAAAATATATGCATTATTAATTCAAGTAAAAATATAAATTAAAAGAGTCAAAAATTATATTCTAATTTAATATACAAAAAATAGTTTAAAAAATGAAATTTAATGCCAAAAAATTGAAAACAATCATTTCAAAAATATAAGCTGTTGAAAGTGGAGGTGAAAAATAAATAATATTAAACAATTTGAAAATAACTATTTTCAAAGTATAAACAGTTGATATTTAAAAACAATAAGGTAGAATTTCAAAAAGATAATAATAATAATTTGAGAATTTTTAAAAACTTAAAAAAAGTTAAAACCACATGGCTCAAGGAGATAAAAAAGTGCAATAGCATATTATCTCACTCTTAAAAATGAAAACTCAATTTCATTATATAAGTGTGGATTTGTACCAGCCAAATCATAATTTTTCTCCTTTTTCCCTTCCAATTCAACATCCATATTCCTTGCCAACAGCTACAGCATATTTCATTCTTTTTCTTTTTCTTCTTCGGTCTCCATCTCCCAGACCAGTAAATTCAAAACCAGATAAAGATCCTTGCCACCATAATGCTGTAATTGATTAGACGCAAAAGTGTATATATGATGTTTTATTCCAACCCAACTGCATCCAATGAACTCTTTATTCCCTCTATGTTCCACAGCCTTCCTAACTCGAACCATGCTCTCCCATCTGCCCCTCATCTGATATGCCTGAGCCAATACCAAGTAAGGTAAGGATATCTGTGGTTCCCTCTCCATTATTTTCTGTGCAACTCTTTCAATAACTCGCAGGTCTTCATGAATTGCACATGTAGAAAGAATTGACCTCCAAATGTCAGAGGAAGTTCTATAAGGCATTGTTTCTACAATGTCAATGGCTTCTTTGAGCTTACCAGCTTTACTCAACATCTCCACAACATAAGCACAATGTTCTTCCCCTGGTTTTACACCAAATTCCTTCTCCATTGAGGAAAAAATTTTAACTCCTTCATCAATTAAATTCCCATAGTTGCATGCTAGTAGAACTGCAGCGAGTGTTATTCGATCTGGTGACATACATTCTCTGATCAATTCCTTGAAGAGGTCCATGGTCACAGACACTTTGCCATTGTAAGTCAATCCCATCATTATAGTGTTCCATGATACCAAATCTTTCATTTTCATTTCATTGAAGATATTCAAGGCATCATCAATAAATCCAAATTTTGCATACATATCAACAAGTGAATTGGCAACAACTGCATCTGACTCGAAACCTAATTTAGGAACCAAAGAATGGATTTGATTACCCACTTCTACTGGTAAGAAAATGGAAACAGAACTCAGAAGACAGCTAACCATGTATTCCGTTGGCCTGATATTCTCTCTCAAGGACAGCACAAAAAGTTGCAAAGCATCTTCCCCCAAATCATGTCTAGCATAGCTTGAAATCATGGAATTGCATAGAGCTGAATCCCATTGATCTTGTTCTTTGAAGAGCCGGATAGAATCCTCCAATCTGTTGCATTTGGAAAAGAGGTCAATAGCAGCACTTGATACAATGCTATTATAAACAAATCCCATCTTGAAACAAAAGGCAAAAACTTGCTTACCCTTGTCCAAATCTCGCAAGTTAGAGCAGACACTCATCAATATTGAACACGTAAACTGGTCAGGTAATAACTCCACAGTTCTCATCTGATAGAACTTCTCTAGAGCCAGCTCTTGGTGTCCGGCTCTATGACAAGCCCAGATCAAAGAGTTCCAAGATATAACATCAAACTGCTCCATAGTCAGAATCACACCAAAAGAATAATCAACAAGACCAAGCTTCCCATACATAGCTATTAAGGAATTCCCAAGCACTACATTAGACAAATCCATTCCAATTCTAATCATCCTACCATGAATCTGCTTAGCATGACAGGGACTTGACACGATTGACGTCATAATGGAGAAAGTGAACCCACTTGGTCTCACACCAGTACCTTGCATTTCAACAAAAAGCTCCAAGGCATGACTAAAAAGCCCGTAATAAGCATAACCTGAAATCATGGAGTTCCAACTAACGACATCTCTAACAGGCATTCCATCAAACAAGTAGCAGGCCTTGCCAAGCTGGCCACTTTTGAGCAACCCTTTCAAGCAAATGTTCCACGATGTGGAGTTCTTGTGATAAATATCATCAAACACCTTCGAGGCATCATTAATGTGGCCGAACTCGAAGTAAAGATCGAGACAGCGATTGCCCAAATAGGTATACGTATTAAGACCCAATTTGAGAAAGTGGGCATGCACGATTTTGACAAAGTTAACGGATTTTTTAGATAAACAGTGACGTAGGAGAAGAGAGCAAAAAGAAAGTGAAGAATGAGGACCTTGTATTTGCTTCAAATATGGGTACATGCAAATGATGCCACACCCACAGGCACAGTTGAGAGTTAGCGATAGCACTCCAAAATCAAACACAGTGAAACACGCGCTTCCTCAAATCTCCATCTCTGCGTCTTGTGATAACATATTCGGAGGTACAGTTCCAAGTTCCAACCCTTACGGAATTAAGGGTGATTGCCCTAGCTCCCGCCTAAAACCAAACTATATATTATATGTGAAAGGAAGCTTATACTCATCAATTGGTTTATCATTTCTGATTATTAAATTTTAATCGTTCATTTTTTATAATTTAATGATTTTAATTTATTGAATAATATTTATTAATTTGTAATAAATTATAACCGTCAAATTGAAAAAAAAAAAAAAACAACGGCTAAAATTTAGTGATAAGAAATGACAAAACTTAATTAGTGATAAGTATAATATTTTGCTATATCTAATATGGTTAGGATTACGTTTACAACTTTTTTTGTTTAGGTTGTAAAAGTGTACTTCCGGAAAAACACAGTTGAAATTGTAAGAGTTATAAACAAAAAAAGTTGTAAACTTGGCGCTGAGTTAGTGAGGTTGGATATGTGTTCGATTCCCGCTGAATGCATTCTTGGGGAGGGGGCTGAACCTTTAGCCATCACTGTTCCCCCGCACTCCAGATTAGTCTCATAGCCGGCTCAAAGAGTCGAAGCTCGTGGGGATACCGAAGGGAGCCAACTCGTCTCAAAGAGATAATTAGAGTTGAGTAACTCCAAAAAAAAAAAGTTGTAAACTTAACCTTCCCATCTAATACTACAAGCGAAAAATATTTCTACGAAAAACAATTATCTCATGCAACCCCAAATTATATTGTTTTAAGGGTTGGATGAATTAATTAAGGATATTTTATTTATTTTTTATATTAATTTTATCAAAATACCCTGATAAATCTATATAATAATCTTCAACTATCTAATTTTTTTCTAGTAGTTTTGTCATTATTTTCCTTTCTTAGAAACGCATATTTCCTCTACAATTCTAAAAGAAATGTACAAATCTATCAACAACAAAAAAACTGTTCTAGGTGCAAGTATTTATCTAAAAGTTAATATTTAATGAATTATTTTTTCGCTCAATACTTTATCATAAAGAAATTATTTTTAAGAGTTAAGATGTTTGCAGCTTTTCCTAATCACTGGTATTCTCACTAGCCAGGTAATTGTTATTATTACTAATAATAATAAAAGTTATTTGTCCTTTTAGCGTGGCAAAAGTGATTGAGTGCATGGAGATTGCAATTTGTATCTATGCGAATTTAGAATTGAAATACATTGCCCCAAGAAATGTGTCATGCCATAACCACAACTTATCCATCACAACAAGAGAGAGAGAGAGAGAGTTCCTTGTTTTGCCATTTGATTTATTTATTTATTTATTTTTAGATATTTGAAGAGTATTCCCACAGCAATTCTAACCCCTCAAACACAATTGCGACAAAGAGACACTCCCAACAATTTATTGCTTCAGGCTCTTAACTCCATTGACTTAAATAGTTATTTCACTGACCAATAGCAGAAATTGAACGCTGTGTATGTGAGACTTGTGATAATAAAGCTGCGCAAACAAAAAGGCCTAAAGAGTACAATTGATAACACAGGTTGAGTAGTTGAAAGGAGAATTTGAATTCAATTCTCATCAAATATATTTTTGGGAAGAGATGAAAAGCTTTAACTGTCACTAAATCCTAACTCGGAATTAGTTATATAGTTAGTTCAAAGAATTGAAATTTGTAGGAATACCTATGGATAACTCATCTCAGAGAAAAAAGCCAGGATCGATATATAGAAAAAAGCCTCGAGAGGAAAAAGCTATTATACAAGAGTAAGAAAACAACCATTATGATAACATCCCTGCAAAATCATGGGAGGCTGATTCAAACCAATACTCAAGGTCCATTTACCTTAAACTAGTAGTCAAAACTTCCAACATATTGCTTGAAGGGGGATGCATAATAGTTCCTTAGCTAGTATTTAAAATGCAGCGGTTGTCACAATAGTAAATATAGGAAGATAATTATTGAACTGAGGATATTTACTTCAGAGAGAATGAGATTAAAAATAAAAAGATGTACTTCATTAATCACAAATTTTTACCACAGAAGATCAAGAATACTTACAGCTGATTCTCAGTGCGGAACACATTGCCATGAATTCTGCCTTTTTGGTCCCTACAATTATGGTGGATGAATGGTTCCTTGCCAAATACAAAATGGTTTGTCCTAAATTTGAAGAAACTTTGTAGGCTTACACCCTAAGAAAAGGAAGACTGTAAATATAGTTTCTCTATATGACAATAACCCAGTCACACAAAATAAGCAAAACTTATTATACCCTCGAGAAAGCACAGTAACCTTCTCATGGTAGTTAAGTCAACCCTTCTAACATGAACATCAAACTGTGTTCGATTTCGTTAACAAATACAATGACATAGCTTCTGTGAGCAAAGCTCCAATCCTTCTCAGGAACTGAGCACTTAAGTAGCCCCAAGACAAGGAATAAATGAGCAATATTTTGACAAGTACATTACATAGCTTCTGTATATAAATCTTCTAGTTAAACTACAATTGAAGTACAGGTAATATCTGTCCTCAATAACCTTGTTGCAGAAGGCATAATAGCATATCTACGTAGGCACAGGAAAGCAATATGCTCCTAGTAGTCAGCCCCAGAGAGATTTGCTTTACGCCAGTCATCATCAATGAGATTGTCTAAAAGCATCCCAGGTATGGCAATGATCAAAATTACCTCGATTCCCCACACTACAAAAATATACAATAATTTGTTGTGCCAACAAATAGAAGAGAAAATTCCATCCTCATAGGACACAAAAAGAGCACGTGTTGCAATAAGATGGCTCTTACCATAGTTATGATCCTTGCGCCATAACAATCACAAGCTTTCCAATAGGAAACCAATCATTGGACGATAAAATTAAAGCAATTATATGCAATTTCAAAGAAGAAAGTGTTCCACTACTTCAGTATTTTCTTCCAACTCCTGATGTAATCCTATGAAGGCTTAACGTCCCAAAACTTCTGGCTTATAATATTTGGTAGTAGCACTAAGCCCACACAACCTGTAAGGATCAAGCATTTACAACTAATTTGAAACATGCTCTGAAGTCAGAATAGAGACCTTGTTCCAATCAACTAATTTTCTGAACCTTAAAGCACCTTCCTGTCATATTTTGCAACAATCTGCGGAACTGACATCAACTACATCAAGATCACCTTTCTCCCAAATTAGTTGGGTCACAATCTGCACAACTGACCTTCTCTAAATTAGCTCTGCTGATTTCTATATCCATCTTGCGCTCCAAATTTACACCCCAATCCCAACTGGACAGAGCTCTTAGCAGAGGAAGAAGATTGCTAAGCTGCAATCACATCACAGCAGTCCCTTTCCCATCAATTCAAAATTCAGTTTTGAGATGATCTGTACAATAACTGCAAGTTTACTTGACTACGTAGCATGAACCTTGGGATTGAGCTTCATACAAATAATAAACCTCAGGCTTTGCTGTTGAAAGCATAACACTCTTTGTTAGCTGGCTTGATTTATGTCACCTACAGGTAAAAATATGATAGATAAGCACCAATTTTTTCAAAATTTTCCAGCCCATAGTCCAACACTCAAGGCATTGCATGTGTTTTGAGTAAAATGTTGTGCTCCTAGCCTCCTGCTAAAGCATTCACAACAAAGCTCGCAAGAAAAAGGGTTAACCCCACTCAAGCCACATACTTTTAATCTGTTCATTCTCTTCTAATCGGTTAGTCAAAACTGAAAACAGCCCAAAAAACTTGGAAGCTAATGGGTGTTCCAAGCTTATTTCAGTAAGGAGTTGTCCTCCTCAGATTGATTAATCTTCACCTGGAAACTAAGAAGCTCATCTGAGTTTTTCATTCAACAATACGCCCAACTGCAACCAGGAACCTTTTGAACATGCTTATCTCTCATCAACTCTCTCACATATGCTGATCCTTCCCAGTCCTCAGAAGTTGCAAGTATGTTAGATAATTGTATATAAGCACCTGGATTTTCAGGTTCAAGCTGAATAATTTGCTCCGCAGCCATCTTGCCAATAGCCTTATTTCCATGAGCTATGCAGCCTCTCAATACTGACAACCACATGTTTGCATCAGCCTGTAAAGGCATCTCTTCAATAAGATTCATTGCTTCCCCGAAGCAACCAGCTCGGGCAAAAAGGTCAACCATGCAAGAGTAATGTTCAATCCGTGGACTAATACTATAGTTATGCCTCATAGTATGGAACAAATTTCTTCCTTCTTCAACCAGACCACTATGATCACAGGCTGAAAGAACCCCAGTAAAAGTAATAACAGACGGCCTCACACCACTATACATCATTTCAGTAAAGAGGGTCAGTGCTTCAATTCCATATCCATTTGTGGCATATCCCATCAACATTGTATTCCATGAGACTTCATCAGTTTTTATCATTCCATCAAATACTTTACGCCCTATGTCAACAAACCCACATTTACAATAAAAATCAACAAGGGAGGTAGAAATGATTTGGTCTGATTCAAGCCCAATGGTGATAGCTTTACCAAATACCTGCTCACCAAGTTCAAGGGATGATTTACTGGCACAAGTACTGATAACACTGGCAAAGCTAAACTTGTCCATTTTTAAGCCCAGCTTATTCATCTTACAAAAAATATCTAATGCTTCACTAGGACACGCATTCTGAGTGAGACCCACTAAGATTGAATTCCATGAAATTAAGGTTTTACTAGGCATTGTGTTAAAAATCCATTTTGCATCTTCGATTCTTCCGCAATTAGAATACACAGTGATCATAGTATTAAGCAAAATCGTATCATAAACTTTGAGCTCACTAAACAACTTGCAGGCTTCATTAGGTCTTTGACATTTGGAGTAGGCATCAAGCAAAGCACTAGCAACCACGATGTCATGAGTTACCCCAGTTTTACAAGCATAGGCATGAATTTGATTAACAAGTTCAATAATGAGTAAGCCACTGCCAGCACTCAAAATGTTTGCAACCGCAGATATATCTCCCCGGACACTTTTCCTCCGCATTTTATTGAAAAGAGCCAGTGCTTCCATTTCCTCACCATTGGATACATAACCTGTAATAATTGAATTCCACAGCACATGACATGGATCAACCTTGCTATCAAAAATCCTTCTTGCCTCTCTCATTCTGCCAGCATTTGCATAACCTGATATCAAAGCTGATAGAGAGAACTCATCCACTTCCTTCACAAAACTCACAACGCGAGCAGCACTATCCAAATCACCACACTTCCCATACAAATTAATCAGGGAGCTACACAAGACCTTGTCAAGTCCCAGATCGTCAATGAAAACACGCGCATGGACTTGTTTCCCACAGTTGAGAGCCAACAAGTCAGCACAAGCCCCAAGAGCAGTTGCCAACACAAATGCATCACGGTACACCATTTCAAAAGGATCCAAACTCATGCTCTTAAAAAGAAACAATGCTTTCCCGGGATCCCCATTACGAGAATAACCATGAATCATGGAATTCCAGACGAGCTCGTTCTTTCTGGGCATGGCACTGAACAGAGAATGAGCCACTTGAAGGTCTCCAGACTTGGCAAATGCTGAGACAACCATGTTCCAGGAGTAGTGGTTCTTGTGAGGCATGGCATGGAACAAGTGCAATGACTTGTCCATGTGACCTGAGTTAAAGTAGGCCTGCATTAGGGTGGTCCATGAGAAAGGGTTTGTGTGGGGCATTTCGTCGAACAAGTGGGACGCATCACGGAGAGAGCCACACCGGCAGTATAGTTGGAGAAGGCTGTTGGCGATGGTAAGTGAGGAATTCAAAATACCAGTTTTGAGGAAGGGAACATGGAGTTGTCTACCTTCACCAATCGAGTAATGAAGCGTGCGAGCCAAGCCATGTAAGTCCAAACCCATTCTCTATCCCTCCAACTATTCTCAATTATGTATTTATATATGTGTATATATATACCTTGCGTGAAAGTGTACGAGCAACAAATAATGATAGTTTAATTGATACTAGGGAATTGAGTAGGTGGGGTGAAAATATATATTCGATCTTTTCACTAACACTGTCCTTGGGAGGAGTTAAACCCTTTTAATCCTGAGATCCATCCAAATCAAATGAGTCGCTGAGTGATGAACTGATTAAAATATTTATAAAAAAAAATGTGCGAATATACGAGAGAATTTTAAACCTATAATAATAGTATATCAATGGTTATATGGAAAGAAAAAAAAATATAAGCATAAGAAATTATAAAATCATCGTTAATTTGATTATTAATTATTAATATCGTCTCGTTGTCATATTAAATAAAGGATCCTTTTCCATATAAATTTATCTCCAGACTACCACCTTATTATTCATTTAGCTCCTCATTAATGATTTAAAAATTAAACTCGTAAGTTCCCTATCTTACAGTGCATTTAGTTAAATCGATTAAATTTACAATTAAAAGGTAAATATAATCAGTTCCCAATCCAACTGTTAACCTTCAGGACTTCAGGGTGACTTAAAACGTTATTTTTACTGCATTTACTATATATTGGTCAACTAAATATAAACATTATATTAATCAAGGTCTTAATAGAATAAAAATTTATATCAATATAAAAAAAATCGTCCTTATTCTCTAATTTCACATTATAAAAACGTAATAAAAAATGTCAATGTTAATGAGGTCATAATAAAACTTTCTTAATTCTTTATATATAAATTATGTTTCTATTCGATTACCAATATATATATGTGTGTGTTTTTCTATTATAAAACAAAGAAAATAAAATTTGAGGAAAGAGTTTTTTTTTTATTTTTAATTTATAGCTAATTAATATAAATATTTATTATTGAAAAATCAATTGAGGATGGAAATCAAATTAAAAAGGATAACAAGAAAGATGAAACAAAAACACGTAACACAAGATGAGAAAATACGTGATGAATTAAAAAATTTGTTATATAGTGATGGATTATAGTATACCGGGAGTGTTTTCAATTCTTAAATTTACTCTTCTTTAGAAAAAGATACTGCCAATTCTTAATTTTTATTTTTTCAAATTGTAAATTAATATTATTTTGAATTAACGAAAACTATAAATAAATAATTATGAATGACAATAACCTTCAAATTTGATTCATTTACATATTGAAATTTGAAAAGGTGCATATGACTCTTGATTTGAGTTCAAATATATTTTTTCCAATCTGTCAAAAAATGAAATAGTAGAAAAGTTACAAGTGAATGGGATAAAAAAAAAACTCTCCTTGCCGCTTGGAAGAACAGAGAATGGGAATCTGTTGAGTAAAATATTTGTTTTTAAAGGCGCACTAACCATTGAATGTGCTTCAAATTCAGCAAATGAACACCACAAAAATAAGCCAAACTACTAATTCTAAACTTTCTGCTTATATATTTTGCTGAGAATCCCAACATATAGTTAAATATGGCCCTACTTGGGTAAAATTGATTGAGGCAGCCATCATACTTAACCATGCCATCTGCCAAGACTCATATGATCCTTTGCATTTTCTACCAAATTATTCCATTACGTTCTATACTTACAGTTCCAAACCAGTCATAACTTCATCAGAACTCAAATCCCAAAATGCACAAACTGCTTCCTTCTGCAATTTATTCTCCAAACAAGAATCAAGCTATTTCCAAAGATGACAATTATCTTAAAATGCTTTACTATCGTATGATTTGCTCAAATCAATCTTAAACTCCAAGCATGCTAATTGTCCCATAAAGCCATTATCAATTGGCAATATTCTGCTAAAAATGTAGTTTATCCTTTCTCTTTGCATGTGCTTGTAATGTGAAAAATAGATTTTTCCTTGTACACTATAAAACCCGCTACTTCCATTTGGATAAGATCTTTTTTCTTTATTCTGGTTGCAGGATAAGACACCATGATCCTTTTCTTTCAGCAAAACCAGAAAATGTCCTGCTCACTGCAATTGCATATACTAGTCGTCCTGTATCAGCACATCAAGGGATTTATCTGATTATCATCGTTACTGACAGGATCTTGATAGTCATATTCCATTGCATATACTTGCAGTCTGACTTCTTGCTCTTATGCCGAAACAAAGATCAGCTCCCTGTTATAATGCAGGCATGCTGCAAGCTGAAATTAATTAATGTTTAAATTCATTAAGTTTTTCTCTAATACATTCTCCCAATCTTGGGCAGTCATTTTTATGACAAGCATCAAGAGCTCTTGTCAACATTGGAATAGTGGGCTCTATTGTCATTGTCTTCATAAAATTCTCGAGCTTATCCATGTATCCATGCCGACTGTAGAGTTCAATCATGCAGTCATAATGCTCCAGCCGAGGCAGGACACAGTATTCATTGCTCATTGACTTAAAGCATTCCGCGCCAAACTCAACAAGGCCTTCTTCAACACAAGCAAGCAGAATGCCCTGAAAGGTCACATGGTCTGGTTTGATGCCTTCTGCTAGCATTATCCCAAAAAGTTCAAGTCCCTCTTTACCTCTATGATTGTGACAACATCCCAAAATTATGGTATTCCAAATAATCACATCCCTAGTAACTGACCCCTTCAGAACCTCAATAGCATACTCAAGACAACGGCATTTAGAGTACATATAAACCAAAGCAGTTCTGATTATAGTATCTATCTGAAATCCATGTCTAATGATGAATGCATGAATTTGTTTGCCAAGGTGAAGAGCAAAGGTATTTGCACATGCTGCCAGAAGGGTTCCAAATGTATACTTGGTTGGTTTTGTCTCCCATTGCATCTCTGAAAACATTGTTAGTGCTTGTTCACTTAAATGATGATGACCATAGCTAGCCAATAAAGCATTCCAAGAAACCCTGTCACGCCAATTACTCATCTGGTTAAACCAAACTCTGGCGCTGTTCAAGTTCCCGCATTTACCATACATGTCAAGAAGGGCATTGCTAACCATAAGGTTCAAGTGGAAACCATGTCGATAGATATAGCCATGAACCCGTTTCCCCATTTCATGGTCTGAAAGGCCTGCCGACACATTTAGCATCAAACAAAGAGTGACATGGTCTACGTCTTTAATTGTATCAAGCATCAGATATACAAAATCTAATGCCTCCGACCATTGGAAGAATCGGGTATACCCCGCCAACATTGCATTCCATGAGATCACATTACGTTCAGGCATCTCATCAAAAAGTTTTCTTGCCTCCCAAGTTTTTCCACTCATAGCATACCCTGACACAATGGAAGTCCAAGACACCAAATCGTTCGAAGCAAGCTGATTAAAAACCAGAGAACCATCCTCCAGTTTACCACACTTGACATACATGTTGATAAGCGAACTCGTAACAACATTATCCTCTTGGAGACCCAGCTTCACAACAGCCCCATGAATTTGCATCCCCTCCTCGAGTGCAGACATACTTGAACAAGCAACAAGAGCATTCGAGAATGTATAATTCAAAGGCCTAACCTTAGCCAAAAACATCCGCGAGAACATGAAAACTGATTCCTTTGCATCACCAACATCAAGATACCTCCTCACAATTACATTCCAAGTGACAGCATTTGGACGTGGAATCTCATGAAACATCTTCCGGGCATCATCCATAACCCCACATTTCGCATAAACATCAACAAGGGAACTCTCGAGGATCACATTTCCACAAAAACCAAACTTTGTCACAAGCCCATGAACCTGCCTGGAGAGAAGAAGCTGAGAAGCAGAAGCACAAGAGGCAAGAACGCTAGCAAAGGTGACTTCATTGGCGCAAAAACCGGACCTATTCATACACAGGAACAGCGAAAGAGCCTCATCTGGGTAACCCATTTGAGAATAAGCAGTGATCAAGGCGTTCCAAGAGCCCCCATCTCGTTGGGGCATTTCGTCGAACAGTTCCCTGGCATCGCGAAGAGAAGAACATTTGCCGTAGGCCTCAATGGCGCGATTGAGGAGGAAGGTGGGCGGGTTGGGGGAGAAGGTGAGCAAGTGGGACTCGACCTTGCGAGCCTCCACGATGGCGCGGTGGAAGGAACAGAGACGGAAAAGGTGGGCGTAGAAAGAGAAAGGGAAGGGTTCTGGGAAGGCGAAGAGAATCGACACTGCTCTTCTGACCCGACCAGCTTCGAGGTAAGTGAGGATTTTTTGAATCACAGCCTCGGTGGTCGTGGTGGCCGGTGAGTATGGCTTCAGGTTTCGCTTGTGGTTGTGGAGGAGTTGGTTCAGTACAGAAGCTGCACTCACACCCATACAATGATACAATACAAGGGAAAGAAGAACACGACACACTCTTTCCCTCCGTGTTTTTACTTTTTATTGTTGGTACTGAAAAAAAAAAAAAATACAGTTCTTGAGAAAAGTCTTAGTTATTTAATTAAAAAGCAATAAATAATGAGGAATGATATTTTGACTACCAAAAATTTCTACTACCACCTTACTACCTATCTAATCACCATTGGATTAACATTTTTTCTCTCTTCAAAAACTTTTTAACATTCTCTCTCTTTAATCCAACGGTGATTTGATAGGTAGTAAGGTGGTAGTGGACATTTTTGGTAGTCAAAATATCTCCCCTCATAAATAATATATTTATTTATAAAAATAAAAAATTATACTTACAATCTATTTTTAATTATAATCTCTTGTAATCATATTTTAATCGTTGATTTTTTTCGTCAATTAATAATTAATATTTTCATAAATTAAATTCACTAATTAGTTATTAATTTATAATAAATAATAATCGTTGATCGACAAAAATCAACGATTAAAATATGATTATAAATAAAAATATATTACAAATATGACTTTCCTGTATAAAAAAAATATTGAAAAGTACAAAACCGTTTAATTTTTCTCTTATGATTCTGTTTTAGTTACTAAAGAACTTTTTTTTTTCAGTTCACTCGTATACTTATATTATCCCTCTCCTCATTTGTTAATAATGTTTCGTAACATATTACAAAATACGTCACTCTATCAAATGACTACTTTTATTTTGACAAGTCTTAAAAAAAAAAACTCTTTAAAATGTTATTGTCTCTAAAAGTAATAATAAACAATTAAAATAATCAATCAGGGTTGTATTTGTTATATTCCTTGTGGATGGTGCTTCAACCTCTCTCGATGCTCAGTGAAATCCAATGTTAAGAAAAAATATAGATGGAAAATATAAACAAGATTAATATAAATGTTATTAAACGAGAACCAGTTATTGATGGGAGTATTGGGTTACTACGTTACCGATTTAACGAGTGGATTAGTGGTTGAATCATATGACTCGACTAAAGGTATTTAAATTTATATTCTATACTTAAAATTCTTTCATAATAACTTTTATATTGTCTAACAAAATCTATAACAATATTTATCCAAATTTATGTTTAGTAACAAATATTCGAACTAGTTTGCTAGACAAGCCATTGGTGTAGAAGAGTATATCATCATCTTCAACCTATCTCCACCTCAAATGGTCAATGGTCAATTTACTGAATGAGTATTTACTCTCTTTTCATAAATATAGAACTCTTATATCTTTGTAATTTATTTTTTCAAGATTAAACCCTCCCTAATTCATAAATATATATATATATATAAGGGAATGATTCGTTTACAATTTTTTTTTTACAAATTACACTAAGTATGACCAGTCATACACTCTTGATTAAAGTATGACCAGTAATACTTAGTGTAGTTTGTAAGAGTTTGTAAACAAAAAATTTGTAAATATAATATTTCTTATATATATATATAGCAAATTGTTGGCTTAATTGGTTTGGATGTATTTTGTGATTTATTTGTTTCAGTATTTGGATTAGGATTTTCATTTTTAATATATATATATATATATATATATATATATATATATATATCCATAGAGTCATTATTAAAAAATAAAATTAATATCAGTTTTCAAATTTCAAATTAGTTCTTCCTCCTTGTCTCTTAGGGGGCCGTTTGGTTGAGGATAAATTTTTTGAATACCAGGAAAATAGTTGGAAAGTGAGTTTGGTAGAAAAATGTAAAAAAAAAAAGTTGTTTGGTAGGCCAAAATAATACCGGAAAAATTGAGTGAAATTCCTGAATGTGTGTTTGGTTGAAAATAAAATATTGATGGGAAAATTTATTAAAATTACAAAATAACTCTTTTAGAAATAACCCTTTTATGGGATTGGTTTTAATGTTATCAAATACAGAATAATATCATCTAATATGATATTATACAAAACACAGTATAATATTAAAATTTCATTAAAACTTATAATATCGAACGTTATCTTTTAATTAATATGAAGAGGTTTAATTTTTATTTTTATTTTTTAGTTTACATGTAATAATACAATTGCATGGTGCAAAGGGAAAGCCATAGGGAAGCGAACAGGGAAACAGACCCCATTGACCCCTCTTTCAAAACAGTAATCAGAAAAAATCTTCACTCTTCTCTGTTTTTCTTTCTTCTGCTTCGAAAACCGTAAACTTCATGTGGTTGCTACGGTTACCAACAATGGGGGAAAGAGGAAGAAGAGCGAGGGTTCAGGAATCGACGATGTCGAAGAAGGTTCGATGAAGAAAGCAACAACGAAGAAAAAGAACAAGGAGGAGTTGCTTCCTTCGATGATCAAAAACAAGGAGAAGAGATCAAAGGTTCATGCCAAGGCCAAGCATCAGAAGAAGCTCGAGGGGTAATATAGTCACCGATTATACCACTTTTTGAACTTCTCCAGATTTTCAGATAAATACCACCTTTCAGGAAGCAATTCTCAACAGTACTTTTCAGACAAATCACTTGCAATTGTCGATAGATAGGCAACAAGGAAAGATGGGTAAAATTTATGAAAACCGTGAACCAAACGTGGAGTAATGAAAATGCAAGAATCACTTCCCCAAGAAACTTGAACAAACTCCTGAAACAAACACCCCCTTATGCTTTCAAATTTCAATCCAACTTACTTAGCATTTTCACTTTTCATTTCAATTTTATCTTTCTAAAATTTAAATGTTTAACCGTGTTTTGTTTTTTGTATGATTGATATGTGAAAATGTGAATTGAAAATGATACATTGCAACTTAGAGATTTTGTAGTTAGACATTACTTAAAATATGACATTATTTTGCTTTAATTTTCTTAAAAAAAATATACATGACAAAATCGGCCGGGTCACCAATTTTGTCAAAAATAAGTTGAGTCAAATTAGTTTTCACCGGTGGATTGCATGGTTGACCCATTGGCTAACTCAAACCGCTTAAGTCCTCGATTTATTAATTTTTGGGCACCCCGCATTTAATAACACTAATTGAGATTTTTTTTTTTTTTGGAGATACACTAATTGAGATTTTAAACTTCAAGCTATGATGATTAACTTATTTATTATTATTATAAAAAATTCCGCACTAACATTTTTCATTTTTTTTTTGTTAAAGCACAAAATTTTTATCAATGAATTAAAGTAGCAATATTCCAATAATACAACAAAACCTTATGAACTGTGCAATTAGCAATAATGACGAGTTTCTTCACTTAGTGTTTTTCTAATACTTCTTTTCAACAATCATTTTGACCATATAAACCAACATGGCAACATGGGAGAGTGAAAGCCGTTGGTAAAAATGAAGGAGAGAGTGAAAGGCTTTGGTAAAAATGGAGGAACAATAAATAATTGAGTTTAATATTTCTTAAGTAACATATATATATTGGGGTTCACATATTATTCATATCATGTTATATCGTATTATATGAACTCATAAAATGAGTGGAATATCTTCGTGTCAAAAATATTTTAACTTAATTTTAAATTTGTGTTCATATCGTATTATATTGACCCGAATTGTAATACTTAAAAAAATGGTTATATGCATAGACAGCCGTATGTAGAAATGGAGGAACACGGGGCGGGGGTAATCAAAACAATGATAATGAATTTTTGTACGAAGTATATAACAAAGTTTGACCCTGTAAACATCATTCATGGTCTCCCGTGGTGTAATTTGGATCTCCACCTACCGATGCTCCAAGATATTTGTCAAGTATTGAAAACTCCGTGCATCCTTTCTTAAATATAAAAGAATAATATATTTGTCTTTTCTATTTTATTCATTCTTGTATAGAAATTTTCTCTGAATCTCTACCTTTTTTTACTTTTTGTAAAGTAGTATGTGCACGTACTCCCGCAACATCAAAGACGTGTTGCTTAATCAAATGGTGATAAATTGGTGTATAGAAGTTGGATCGGCGATGAAAGATTCTCGATTCGATTTATATCAATATTATTTTTGGGAGACATAAAATTTTAATTCCTAACCATCTCCAAACTCAAAATTAATTCTGTAGCCGACTCAAAACAAAAACAAAATTTATGAAAATATTTAAAAAATCCTACTCACTTTAAAAAGATAATTAAAATTGGTAAAAAATAAAAATAAAAAAAATGTGCTGCTTCCCTTGACATCCCTTTGACCAAGCAGTTGATATACGCAAAAGTCACTATACGGCTTACGTGTTAATATAAATATGTGTGTATACTGGTGATTGTGGCTTACATGTTGGACAACTCCTGTCACTGTTTTGTATTTGCCTTAAGTTGGACCCACTAGAGGAGAGAAAATGTAGCGCTCACGGCTCATTGATCCTTTAAGAGAGTAAAAAATAGAGAGAGAAAGAGGAGAGAGGAGAGAGAGGGAGAAGAAAAAGGAAATCAAGGACTAGGGAATAAATTTCCCCACTAGAGGGACGTGAAATTGAAAACACCAGCGTATCTTTGATAGTTTTTTTTTTTTACCCAAAAGTATAGAAAAAAAATAGAATTTATATTATATTTTGAATACATTTTTTTCTATTTTTAATAAGTGATGTATGAGTCTTATTAAAGATATTTTCCATTGATATACGTTTGAAGTAGGTATATAGATCACTAATCATGTGGATCAAATGGTAGAAATTATTCAACTTAATTAATAGTCTCAAATTTAAGTTATGTATGCAGCTGCATTAAAATTTAATAGGGAAACAAAATATGTTTTATTTAAACTTTTTGACATAAGTAAATTAAAAATAATATAATATATTTAATTATAATGAAATGATGTATTTAAATTTATAAAAAGTTTTAGCAAATTTGTTAAGATATTTTATTAATTTGTTAAAATATTTTATTTAATAAAATATAATATCACGTATGTAAATTATTAATTATGTCATAAGTTTTGGTTAGTAGTTAGACGATGAATTGATTAAGATTTAATTTCTTAATTAA